AAGCTCAGTGAAGAGACATGACAGCTGGCATATTAATGGCATTACAGCCAGGGGTCTGAATTAGACTTCTTATAAAGATAGCATACATATACAGAAGAATAAAGAGTACCAATCAAAAAGGAGAATAGAAGATAAAATAATTGTAAATGCTTTGTGGATACCTGCTGTCATCAATAGCTGGGGTCAGCAGTGCAACTTTCTGCAAGAACTTGAAAATTAAAGCAATAATACTGCTATCAGGTCTAAACTTTAACGTCAACATGTAATGGGCCAGAGCAGAGATATGCAATGCCAAAGGCTGTGACTTCCCTGGAATCTGTGCTATGGGCTGTGTTGTATGCCTGCAAAATTCATCTGCTGAAGTACCTCAGAATGTAACCATATTTGGAGAAAAGGTCTTTAAAGAGGTAAGTTAAAATGTGGTCCTTAGGGTGGGCCCTAAACTAATATGAATGATGTCCTTATAAGAAGAGGAGATTTGGAAACAGACATGTGTGCACACAGAGGAAAGACCATGTGAAGACAGAGGTAGAAGATGGCCATCTGCAAGCCAAGGAGAGAAGCCTCTGAGGAAACCAACTCTACCAGCACCCTGATCTTGGACTTCCAGATTCCACAGCTGTGAAAAAATAAATTTCCATTGTTTAAATTACACAGTCGCTAGTATTAGTTACAGTAACACTAACAAACTAATATCATCTGATTAAATCTAATAATAATACAATAAAGAAAAAAGTTTGTCAATCAGAAAGGAGTTTCATCAGCTAAGGAAGCATAGAAAAAATAAAATATGCAGGAATTTGAAACTAAATAGGTAAGGGCAAAAAGTTGGAACAAATGCTATGTCAAAGGAGAGGTGGATAAGTCTCAAATACAAACATATTCATGAGTTGGTCATCAAAGAGGCTGATAGAGTAAAATACTGAAGTAGGAGGGGACTGAAGCAGACAAGAGAGATTAGAAAGACAAAGTGAATATATGACAGGAAGTATGCAAAAATAGAGCAAGGTGTGATTAAGGTGAGGCGAGGTTTCCACTAATTTTGTGAATGATAGATTGAAGTTGCCACTTCGTTCCATATTTTTTTACATAACTCAAGGTCATAAACAGAAAGGTTAGTTCAGACAGAAAGTGTCACTTCTTGTGTCAGAGACTACCAATGGCATCCCAATATCCATTCTCCCATTTTCAGTTGATAGTAATAACCTTGATTTTTATGGTTGGCACATTTCCATCCCTGAGATTACAAGAAGTCTGTGACATTTCCAGGAGGTCTTCTTTGCCTTTCCTTCATTACCTTCCTGAAATGTAGATATGATGAAGTTCCAAATTCATTTTAAGCATCTTGGACCATGAAGTAGAGGCTACACTCCAGGGGCGAGCCACTGCGCCCGGCCTGATTCCGTAATTTTTCTCAGTTGTTTCCTCTGAGTAGAATCTCATTTTCTCTGTCATTTGCTTTCCTACATATTAAAGCTCCCTCATTGTTTTTTTTTTTTTAAATTTATTTACTTTTATTATTATTATTAGTATTAGTATTATTTTTTTGAGATAGAGTCTCATTCTGTCACCCAGGCTGGAGTGCAGTGGTGTGATCTGGGCTCACGGCAAGCTCCGCCTCCCGGGTTCACGCCATTCTCCTGCCTCAACCTCCCGAGTAGCTGGAACTACAGGCGCCTGCCACCTCACCCGGCTAGTTTTTTGTATTTTTTTTTTTAAGTAGAGATGGGGTTTCACCGTGTTAGCCAGGATGGTCTCGATCTCCTGACCTCGTGATCCGCCCGTCTTGGCCTCCCAAAGTGCTGGGATTACAGGCTTAAGCCACCGCGCCCGGCCTACTTTTATCATTTTTTAATAGAGATGGGGTCTTGCTCTGTTACCGAGGCTAGAGTGCAGTGCTTCAATCATACCTCACTGCAGCCTCAAACCCCTGAGTTCAAATGATCCTCCCGCCTCAGCCTCTAGAGTAACTGGGACTACAAGCATATCACCATGCCCAGCTAGCTTCCTTGTTCTTCCGTTGTTACTGGAAAGGGATCCTGGTCCAGACCCCAACAGAGGGTTCTTTAAACTTATGCAAGAAAGAATTTAGGGCAAGTCCATAGAGTAAAGTGAAAGCAAGTTTACAAAGAAAGTAAAGAAATAAAGAATGGCTACTCCATAGGCAGAGCAGCCCCGAGGGCTGCTGGTTTGCTACTTTTATGGTTATTTCTTGATTATATGCTAAACAAGGGGTGGATTATTCATGAGTTTTAGGGGAAATGGGTGGGCTATTCCTGGAACTGAGGGTTCCTCCCCTTTTCAGACCATATAGGGTAACTTCCTGATGTTGCCATGGCATTTGTAAACTGTCATGGCACTGGTAGGGGTGTCTTTTAGCATGCTAATGCATTATAATTAGCATATGATGAGCAGTGAGGATGACCAGAGGCCACTTTAATTGCCATCTTGGTTTTGGTGGGTTTTGGCTGGCTTCTTTACCACATTCTTTTATTAGCAAGGTCTTTGTGACCTGTACCTTGTGCTGACCTATCTCATCCTGTGACTTAGAATGCCTAACCTCCTGGGGATGCAGCCCAGTAGGTCTCAGCCTTATTTTACCCAGCCCCTATTCAGGATGGAGTCGCTCCAGTTCAAAAGCCTCTGACACCATTATTCCCATACTTCTATTAGGGAATAAAGGCAATTTACACACCCCATCTCTCACTCTACTTACTACCAGTATTTTCTCAACTTGTTTAGGATACTTTTTTCTTTCACTGCCCTACGTATTTCGTTTGAAGCTGTGTGCCCAGATGAAAAGGACAATTTTCCCAGGTACTGAGAGATGATTCCCCCACCCCCACCCCCACAGTGGTCTAAAAGAAACCCTGTGTTTTTTTTCCTTACAAATCTCCTCATTGATGACTTCTTGATTTTCCCCCATTTCTATTTGATCTTTTCTCTCTTGGCATTCCAATGTCATTTATTTTATTTTCTTTCTTTATTTTTTGAGATGGAGTCTCGCTCTGACACCCAGTCTGGAGTGCAGTGGCACGATCTCTGCTCACTGCAACCTCTGCCTTCTGAGTTCAAGTGATTCTCCTGCTTCAGCCTCCCATGTAGCTGGGACCACAGGCCCGCACCACCACACCTGGCTAATTTTTTTGCATTTTTGGTAGAGATGGGGTTTCACCATGTTGGCCAGGCTGCTCTCGAACTCCTGGCCTCAAGTGATCCGCCCACCTCAGCCTCCCAAAGTGCTGGGATTATAGGTGTGAGTCACGGCACCCAGCCCCCAATGTCATTTATTTATATTTTACTTTTTAAATTTATCATTCTCTGCCTTTTATAATGATAATTTTTTTCACTCATCCAACCAACATATAAAGAGCATATAAACAGAGTTCAGAGATGTAGGATTCCTTGCTCAAAGACAGACAAGTTTAAGGGAATGGAATGGAAACTTGAGCCCAGGTTGTAAGTCATAATCTGTGTTATTTCCACTGCCCCATCTTTTTTTTTGGAGACGAAGTTTTGGTCTTGTTGCCCAGGCTGGAGCACAATGGCACAATCTCAGCTCACTGCAACCTCCACCACCGGGGTTCAAGCAATTCTCCTGCCTCAGCCACCCTAGTAGCTGGGATTATAGGCGCCCACCACCACGCCTAGCTAATTTTTTGTATATTTAGTAGAGACGGGGTTTCACCATGTTGACCAGGCTGGTCTTGAACTTCTGACCTCAGGTGATCCACCCACCTCAGCCTCCCAAAGTGCTGGGATTACAGGCGTGAACCACTGCGCCCAGCCTCCACTATTCCATCTTTACTTCTCTCAGAGTGAGCAAACAAGAGGCCTTCCTGCCGAATCTGCCCCTATCTCCTTCTGTTTGGTAAACATAGTTGCTGCTGCTTTGGTTTTTTACTATAAATTTGAATGTTGCACTTTCTATTGGCCTTGCACTTTCTACTCCTCTAAGATCCCCACCAATCGCTGTGGTCTAACTCCAGGTTGCTTCACAAGGTTGTCACCTTCCTGGTTCTTTAGGCTTTTGTGTTTTTGACCCCTGAAGTTTCATTCAAGTTCAGTTTGGAATATCTCATTCCAAAAGTCAGGAAGACTGGCGTAAAGTTATACCTAAGTCGTGCGTTAACCTTATTGTAAGAGTTAAAACATTAAAAAGACTGAATTTTCCCAGTTGCCAAAAGGATGAGCCATTCCACTAGTCCCCTTTCTTAAAAAATTTTCTTGAGCAAATTCTAATTATAATCCGTGTGTGTGTGCGTGTGTGTGTGTGTGTGTGTGTGTGTGTGTGTAACTTTTTTAAAAGCTAAATAAGCCTCTTGTCAGATAGGACCCAGGAATCTTTTTCTTCAGGTCCCGGGAGCCAACTCCTTGAAATGTAAGTATCAAGGTAGACAGTGCCCCTATGATCCACGCTCGCGGGAGTTACCCTAAGCGACTTGCTCCAAGCCGTAAGTAGCTGTTTGTCACAGAGATAACGTTTTATTTTTCCTTTGGATAAAGGCAATTAACCAACACAGACGGCCACTCCAACGGTGAACTACCAAAAATTGAATATCAAACCATGTTAACTCGTCTTACTTGAGAATGTGCGTGTGCTTTAGCTACATAAAAGGTGATATTTTTGTCTCTCTTTGCAATCTCATTAGTGGATTGCCTGTTACACTCATTCCGGTCTGGTTCGATGTTTACAGAATAATACAACTTTTTTTTCTTTTCTAAATTTGTGGAGATTTTCTAGGATGGCAGGGGATTTTTTTTAAAATTTTTTTCTCGACAATATCAATTTATTTAGGTCCCTTACTTTTACTAGCCACCCCCTTCCCACCTCCTTCCAATGGCAAATTAGAATAACTTGCCCCTTGCTCACCTCATGCGTGGCCTTGGGAACTGGTGAGAAACTGCAATCCGTTGGCGGTAGGAACCACGATTCCCAGCATTCCCAGCGCTCTGAGTCCTTCGGGCTTCCTTTTCCGGGTCTCGAGGCTGCTGAAACCGAAAGTGCTGTGCTGTGGGCAGTAGCGCCGAGATTGATTCACCTTCTCCTGTGCGGAACTCCAGCTGACCCGAGTAGGAAGCCAGACGAGCTGTAAATCATGAACGGAAGAGTGGTTTATTTGGTCGCTGAGGAAGAGATCAATCTTACCAGAGGACCCTCAGGTATGTGCGGAACGGGTCATATCTGATAGTAGGGGATTAGAGGGTGTAATTGCAGACATCTCTGCTGCTGAGCCGGATTCACCTGGCCTCGGGGCAGGCCCCAACCTAGAGGTTTCGTGCAACGCTTTGGGGTGCTTAGAGAAAATATGTTGAAATCCATCATTAGCCAGATACGGATCTGAGGAATCCACCTCAAAATCCAGTCGGATGACCACAAATATATATAGTCACGAAAGGGTTCTTTCTGCAAATCGTGCTAGAAAAGTCTTTTTAAAAGTCTACTTTTTTAGCCTGCTTGTCGTGGACACCACATCCTTCCTACCGTTGCCTGTTCTATCCTTCACCCTATGAGGGACCGTTTAGTAAAATGGGAGCATAAGCGGTGTAGACTCTGAATGCATAGCCGTTTTCCTGCAGCTAGGATCCCTCCCTCGCTCCTTTGATTTCTGGGAAATTCATTTACAGTGCCAACTAGAATGTTAAAGCAGGAAGAGCCCTTAGAAATCTTTTATTACACAGGTTCTCAAACTTGGTTCCGCCACAAAATTTCCTAGGGCTTTAAAAAAAAAAAAAAGAAAAAAGAAAAAAAGTTGATTCTTATCTCCTATCTGCAGGGATTTGGATTCAGTACGGATTTATTTTATTTATTTATTTATTTATTTAAGTTTTTTTTATGAACACCTCATGTGATTTTGAGCAGCCAAACTGCTGTCCTCTTACCCCACTGAGGCTCTTCATTAAACTGGGCTCTTGACATTACTACATTCTGCCTTCTTTCGACTTTGTTTATTTTCCTTTACAGCTATTTAGTTGATCGATTAAGAGCTTTAGCTTTGGAATTACAGTATCTGGGTTCAAATCTTGTATCTAACCGCTTACTGATTCTTTGATACTTATTGGCTCACCTAACTGATGTAAGCCTTAGGTTATCATCTGTAAAATGGGGATGGTTATAAATATACTTCATAGTGTTGTGAGAATGAAATGAGTTAATCTATGAAAAATGTTTACAATATTGCCTGACCTATGGTAAGCAGTATGTGTTTCCTACTATTGTTATTGTTTTTTTTCTTTTTTTGGAATGAAAGGCCTCACATATTTATTACGGAACCCAGCCAACCAATGCATTCATAATAGATTCAGAGAGGAAAATACGTCGAACTCTCCAGAGAGTGGTGACATTTTCAGTTTGATATGGTAATGTGATCGTGACCTTCAGACAGCACAAATATATGTGCCATCTCATGTGCAATTCCTTATAGACCCAGCTTGGTTCTTCTCCAATGTCTCCTTTTGGAGTTGTACCTTATTTTATTTCCAGTTTTCATCCGAATCCACTGGGGAATGGGACGATTTTGCTTTTGTTTCTTGGCCAGGAATCGCTTAATCCTGAAAGTCTTGTGAGAAGACATGGCGAGAAGTGGAAGCAAGAACACACCACGATGGCGGAGAAAGGAAAAGAGGGGGTACTGTTGTTATTGTTAATGGATAAATAGCTACACTGACACAGTAGATCCTACTAATACTATATTCCAAGAGTCTCTAATAAATCATCAGGTACTATGAGCCCCATCTCTGAAATGTTCCTGAAATCCTTTCACTCCTTTTTCCCTTGCCACCACCTAGGACAGCCCATCACCTTTTCTCACTGCAGTTCTGCAGTAGCTTAATCATCATGGATAGATTATTCTTTATAAAATATAACTTTCAGAATTATCCATACTTTGTGTCTTTTTTTCTTTTCTTTCTTTCTTTTTCCTTTCTTTTTTGAGACAGGGTCTCACTCTGTTGCCCAGGCTGGAGTGCAGTGGCATGATCTCAGCCCACTGCAGCCTCTCCCTCTTAGGCTCAAGCAATCCTCCCACCTTAGCCTCCTGAGTAACTGGTACCATGGGTGTGCACTGCCAGGCCCGGCTAATTTTTTTGTATTTTTGGTAGAGACAATGTTTTACTACATTGCCCAGGCTGGTCTCGAACTCCAGAGTTTAAATGATCCACCCACCTCTGCATCCCGAAGTCCTGGGATTACACGTGTGAGCCACTGTGCCTGGCCTTCCTTTCTATTATAAATAATTGGAAGTTGGTTTTACTTATTGTAATATAACCCATAACTAATATCATTATTAATATTATTATTATTTTTTTTAGAGACGAGGTCTCGCTTTGTTGCCCAGGCTGGTCTTGAACTCCTGGACTCAGGCAGTCCTCCTACCTTGGCCTCCCAAAGTGCTGGGATTACCGTCATGAGCCACGATGCCTGGCCTATCACTAATCTTAATGGATTAGTGTCATGGATTATGTGCACCTAAACTTTTGTCAAAGGTTCATTTGGTATGCCCAAGTTTCTTGGATTCATTTTTTTGCTATTTTATGTAAATTTATCCTTCACGCACTGTTAATATTTATTGACTTTTGAGCTAACAGAGAGTTACTTTTAAACCAAAGTCTGTTTTTTTGTACTTTTAATCCATTGGTAACTTGTTCTCTTAGACCAACTAAAACAATGCTAGTTCCTTTTCTGATTGCTGTCCAGGTATTTATTTAAAGGCTCTAGTTGTTCTGCTCCTGTTTTGCCTCTTTCTTCTTTATCCTAAATATCTTCAGTTATTTTACTACCTCTCCAGATGCTTGAGATTTGATTCTTGCCTTTTGCTTAAGAATTTAATGTACTTTGACATAGTCTTTTTGCTGGGGCAGCCACAGTATTTTCAGATCTCCTGTCTAAAGCAGAGCAGGACCCTGATATTATCTCTTGTTCTAAACATGAAATCTTTTAAAAATTCAGTATAATTTCACTTCATTTTTTTTGGCATTTGCAGTCATAAATTTCCTAGTGTTAGTATTTTCTCAAAACATTGGCATTAGGACAAGCTTCAAGGACTAATTAAAGGGAATAATTATATCTAGCTAGTATATTTCACCCAAAAATGGTTTGATTTCTGTATCACATATTTATTATAAATGAATGTATTTATTCACTCAGTGGCTTCCTAAATTTTCATAAGCATTTGCATGTATTAATTATGTAAGTCAGTGAACTTACTGGGAGAGTAAAGCCTCAAGTTTAGGAATGAACTTGGGTGAAAACAGTCATTTGAAATTTGGTTGGTTCAGTTAACAAGGAAATGTTTCATGTTAATCACTTATCGGAACTGGTTTCCTAGTATGTGATACTCTTCTTCTCAGAGTCTAATTCAGCTTTTCTTCCTGGTATGATCCTGAAGATAAATAGGAAGGAGACTGTCTCAAAATACCACTAGAAACAAAATATCACTAGAAACTAATCACCACTAGAAACTTCCACATAATTTTGGTAGTCCCATAAGGATCTTTCTTTCTATAGAAGAAATATGAAAATCCTCTAATTCTAAGTGTGCATTTCTTTTGTAGACAGCATTGTCCACTCTTTGTACAGCTGTGTACTCTGCAACCTGATGGTTTAATCAGGTCCAAGAACATGTGTGCCATTGCCCATTTATGTTCTGTCAGGGACAAGAATTGTGGATATTTCTGGTGTTTGGGTCCATATTATAAGGCAGTCGAACCTGTTCCTGACTGATCTGCTTACTGCAAGGGAAGTAATGAAATCTCGGGGAAATTACGACAATAGTGAAGAGGCAAAAGAAGCTTGACATGTATTAGGTTAGTGCAAAAGTACAATTACTTTCTTTTGTTTTCTTTTTTTTTGAGACACAGTCTCGCTCTGTCATCAGGGTGGAGTGCAGTGGCACGATCTTGGCTCACTGCAACCTCTGCCTCCCAGATTCAAGCAATTCTCCTGCCTCAGCCTCCCATGTAGCTGGGATTACAGGCATTTGCCACCACGCCCGGGTAATTTTTGTATTTTTGGTACAGACAGGGTTTCACCACGTTGACCAGGCTGGTCTTTACTCCTGACCTCAAGTGATCCACCCACCTTGGCCTCCCAAAGTGTTGGGATTACAGGCGTGAGCCACCCCACCCAGCCATAAGTACCACTGCTTTCAATGGCAGAACCGCAATTACTTTTGCACCAGCCTAATAGCATGGAATCTCTCCTGTTGTCTGCTTTCTCGACTGTAAGGAGGGACTTGGGCTAGATGACTTCAGAGGTCTCTTCCATCTCCAAGAGTTCATAATTCTTTGGCTCATTCCACATGTTATTTTATGACTCCTACCATTTGGGGCTTTGTTTGTTTTGTTTTTGTTATTTGATTCCTGCCATTTTGGACTAATAGTATGAGCTGAAGAATTTCAAAGGCAGTGGCTACAATCTCAAATGTCTTCAAGGGTTGAACAGTTTATCTTTTATCTTTTGTGGAACGCTGTTTTTTTTTCCTATAGCTTGATTATAGTGTCTAAGGCTCTCACTTTTTCTTTATCAAATTGAAAGTCTCTTAATAAGTCTTAAAACTCAGTTACTCTAAAAAGTATGACAAGACTCTTAATGTGTTTTTTTTTACACTGCAACAGGTAAGAGATTGTCCATAAAGACAACCTTACTGTACATTGAGTGCTATGATTAGGAATCTTATTTTTAGGTCCGAGTCTCCAGTGGGTTTCCGCAAGTTACTCCTGATATGCCATCTTTAAAGAGGGAAGAGAATATTTATTTTCTTACTTTCTTTAAAGGCTTTGGAAAAGATGATGGGTTGATGGCAGTGTTTTAATAATGACTGCTAAAGGAGGTATTGTCTTTCTGGTAGTGTGCTAATTACTACATATACATATATTATATATACCGCATATATACTATACATACATACATACTCATTTAATCTTCACAGCAACCCTGAGTGGTAAATATTTAATCCACATTATTAGATTGGGAAATTGCCTGAGAGAGGTTAAAGACTTGCCCAGTTTCTAATGCTAGTAAATTTCAAAGGATTTTAACCCAGGTGTGTTAATTCTGCTATACCATATACTACTTTCCACGGCAATAGCCATGTTTAAGAAGTTGACTGCCAACCTTTCCCCTGACCTTTATTTTATTATATCATGCCTTACTCCCAGAAGCA